GTTCTGGCCTTAATGTATTCAATATTTTGTTAATAACATGGATGTTGAATAACAAGCACACTTCTAAAGTACATTGGGATATCTCTGAGACAGAAGCAGTTACCACAGGATAAAGAACGGTATACAGGGACCAGTTTGGCCACCCTATTTTTCAAATAAGATGGAGCCAAACTGATGAGAGTGCTGAGAACAAAAAGACTAAACAAGACAATCATTACTTATGAAGAAATGCTAAGGAAACTGGGTTTGCTTCCTCGGGAAAGAGAGGAGGTCTAGGTTCAGCCCCTCCGGTGCTTAGACAGCAATTATCCTTACCAATGGGCACTTTCTCTTGCACCCTCCAGCAGTATAGCACAGAATTATTAGAGTTCTTCCTCCTGCTGTGCCACCCAAGGACACGGTGAACCTGATGCTACCCCAAGAACTCACAGTTAGAAAAAGGGGTTACCAAACTGTTTTCCAAGGCTGAGGCAATTTGCTCTAATTGTATTTGATCCTGCCTCTCTGCTGAAGCCCTGCCTAGATCTCCCGAGGTCCCTTCCAGACCCTATGACTTCTGTTGATTCTGTTGTTTTTATTTCCTGTTAACTAAAAAAAAGACAAAACCAATTAGAATAATTTTATCAAACTTCTAGACAGATAGCTGTAAGTAAGCCTTCATTTTCCAATGTTCTCTGTGAACTTATTCAGACTATGACACTATTCCAGCTTTTTATGTTAAGAATGTTTTTCTCCCACCCACCATAAATGCCAAGCCTGTCAATCACACTAACAACAACAAAATACATATGGGACAGTTTAAGGGGGAAGAGCAGACATGAGAAACTGCTCCTTTAACTTATTTGGAATCAGCTCCAACATGTGTGCCTGGGAGAAGAAAAATGAGTATATGGTAAGTCATGTTCCTTTCATTATTTTTGTATAAAATGGGGAAAGAAAATCAGTGACAATAGCTCATATTTTATATACAGTAATACTTTATTGAGCTATTTTGCTCAAGTATATTTTCCCCGAGAGCAGTATTCCAGTGTTATATCCAGTAAAATAAGTTGCATGCAGCTGCTACGGGTTTTAGCAAAGCCGAACTTGACTTTGAAAGTTTTGAAATAATTTAACACTTTTACTGTTTATGTTCATGAAAATATATAGTTGTATTTAGTAAGAAATGCCAGTGGTATGATCTAGGACTCAGTTTATACTGATTATTAACGATTTCTATGAAATTGCAAATTGAGAACTTACTTTATGAAACTCCAAGGAGCTGTAGCCTGTAAAAATACGCCTCTTATGTGGCTTGCACATTCCAGACTGTAGGAAAAAAATTCATCCAAATATCTACTGTAACGATGTGTTAACTCTGCTTTATGTACAAGTTCTGTATGAGAATGACTTTCTGTTTAGAGGTCAAATTACCTGGTGTATAAAACGTACTTATTAACTAAGATTCCTCTGAAATTTGGTAGTTCTCAAGTACCAGATGTCATTTTTGCTAAGGGGTCCAGAAAAATGAAATTTCTTAATATACAGAATCAGATTTCCAGCTTTTTTTGAGGAGTGAAATTGTAAACAGTACGGATGAAAAGTGTTAATGTCTCCAGTTAGAGACAAGGTTAAAATAACAAATTACACTCTGCACATGCACCCAAACACTTTTTTAAGTCTGCCAGTGTCCATGCCAGATCAAGAAGCTTCAGGGAATATTCAGTAGCGAGTGAGCATGACCTGCCCAGGGCTAGTGCTGGTTCTCATTCAAGTCTCTACAATCAGCTTGAAAGTTACATGTAGGCACCTGGCCGTTTGGAAAGAAACAGCGTCTGTAGCCTGTCTTTATCTGGTGGATTCTGGAAGCCTCAATATTCTGCTCAAGGATCCCCCCACTGCAGCCCGTACAGCCCACATGTTCAAGTGCACATATTTACTTGGATTTCCATGAAAGGTGATATACTGCAGAGAGTAACTAGAAGTATGAGGGCACTAAGTAGAATTGGTAACCAAATCTGGAGTCCTCCTAGCCAACAATTCCTGAAATAATCCCCTTGAGGGTAATGGAAAGCAAGTGGAAGTGCATGATAACATTCTCCATTTTTGTTGCGCACACTTGAGGAAAGAAAACTACAGCATTGATCAAGCCAACATCCATATCAGCATCAAGAGACTAGCTGCAGGATCCCAGATGAGCCTCTCCATGTCCCTGTTTTTTAATTTTGTTGTTGTTGTCATCATTTTTAATCTGCCGAAAACACAAATGGCAAAATATTTCTTGGAAGCTACAGTCCCTGTGGTTCAACCACCTCTGCTACAGCCCCTTTGGGAACACAAAACTGAACATGACCTTCCCAAATAGATCTCTGTCTCACTCAGTGGAGAGAGGTGAACTGCATAAACATTGGCCTCTTGAGAGTACTCTCCTGAGAACCCAGAATACAAATTAAGGCAACGTCAACACAGGCAACGATAGGAGAATTAGCGAGAAGTTAAGTGTTGGGGGAGAGCAATCAGAGAGAAGTCAGGTGGGAGAAGAGGGAGGCCTGGGCACAGCAAGGTGGGTGAGCTGGCAGGGCAGAGCTTCAGCTCACACTGCAGACTAACAGGCAGTGTAGGAACGTAACAGCGGAGGGCAGCAGGCAGCAAGGAGCAGCTCCTTGCACGCCAGTACTTCTGAAAATGCTAGTGGACTAATGGGCAATCGTAGGAAAAGGAGCGGGTACTGATGGCAGCATGCACTGAATTGCAAAATCCTTAAAACACTATTTTTAATCTGCCTTTGAGATGTTCTGAACTAGAACTGCTTACACCTACTCAGTAACCAAACTCAGCCTGTACTGCAGAAATAACAGCATTGCTGCGCTTCACTTGACTCATGTTTCACACCTGATGCCATCTGTTATTTTGCTGTTTCCCCTAAGCAACAATTAAACCTGTAACTCACACATATCTCCCACCCAGCTGCTTCCCACCTCCACCATACATGAAGACCCTACTGGTGACACAATCACTCCTGCACTCAAACTAGGCAAGCAAAATTTCTTAAGGAATACATGCGCCTCTCTCTTCTGGTCCTGTACACAGTGAAAGTGAGTATCGCTCCCTCCCATCATCCAGGGGAATGCTGCCCCCCTTGGAACAACTCACAGCCAACACTACGAAACATTGAACACTATGAAACACTATGAAATTCAACATAATTTTTCTTATAGTGTGCCAGGCAGGCACTTGGAGATTGTTCTGAGGAGGCAAAGCTTAAGTTCTTAGGACTTCTATCTCAATTCTGCGTTTCTGAAATTCCAGGAGTTGAGTTTTGCCGGATTCAATGTGCTGCAAAGTCACAAGATAGCAAAGACTTAAGAGTATTCACTGGCAACAACTGACCTGTCAGTCACTCTAACAGCAAAAATACACGCAGGAAAACTTGAAGAAGGATAGCAGATGAGACATTTCAACTTAGCTGAAATCCATTTTAATCTTTGAACATGTGCCCCAAATCCATTTGACACTGGGAAATAAAACAGGAGGAGTAACTGGAAAGCAGAATATAATATTCCTTGTTCTCCAGCCTTTTATGGAAGCTTTCATATTTCTCCTGTTGTGGTGACTCAGAACTGCTGAGCAAAATAATCTGGGTTTGTTTCAGCAGCTGCAGCTGCATCTTTGCAATTTTATTGCCCATTCTACAAAGCAATGGCTCTCAAACTTTTCCCCCTTGCTCCATTTTAGAATACGCACCCCGCCCCCTTCTCCAATTTAAGAATTGCATATGCTGCTCCTCTCAAACTGGAAGTGTATTCTGTGTTAGAGGTGAAGAGGCAGAGAAGGGCTGTGAGTGGGGCCAGGATGCAGCTCAGAGGAGATGGTTGGACAGGGACAGGGGTGGGAAGGGGCAGAAGTGCCCATCCTGAGCCTCCTTGGCTCTGCTCCCTCTCGACTCCATCTGAGCCCCAGCCTCTACTAAAAACATCTGTCTCCCTCCTCCTGCAGCCCAGGAGCGATTCCTGGCTCTGCCTGCCCAGTCCATTGCGCATCTCCCTCCTTAAAGGATAACGGTCATGGCTCCAAATTTGGGAATCATTGGTGTAATATATATGATATATATGCATGCAGCATATGTAGAAACCATATCCAGACCAGTAAGTCCCTGAGTTCAAAATGGTTGGAGACTGGGAGAATACTACGGAAGTCTTACATGCTTGCCCTGTTTCTATACAGTTTCCTAGGTAGCTCACTTCTGACCACAGTCAGAAAAGAAGATGCTGGGCTGGATGAGCTTATGGTCTGACTCAGTACAGCATTTTATGTTAGGCCTACCTCTTGAAAAGATAATGTAGCACTGGAATGAATTTATTGACAATTTGTTCTTTAGCAGTGATAATAATGACGGGGGGGGGGGAATCAACAAAACCAAAAAAAAACCCCAAATCTTTAGATCATACATCACCTTAGAGTAATTGCATGATTTATTTAAGACCACAAGTATGATGCCCAGACTTGCCATAAAGAATGAGATTATATGATGTGGCAATATGGAAGTAAAAGTTCTGCAACTGAGCTCTATTTTTTCTGTCTAAACACCACAGCACAATATGACAAAACTCACAAGCAAGTCAAATGCAATCTGAAGGCAGATCCAAGCAGCTGGATCAAGTAGTTCAAGGTAGGCAAGAGCCAGCTATCACTAATTGTTTTTGTAATAGATATGAAAAATAGTTTCCATATTTAAACCTTTAAGATGCTGATGACTTAGAAATATTTTATACGCTGATTTTCTGCAGAATTTGTTTAACTGATTTCAGTAATGACAGATATTTGCATATGTTGTTATGAAACTTAGAGTTTCCTTATACTGGAAAGAGTCACTCACAGAAGAGTATTGGTACTTCCTAAATCACCCTTTATAGGCGTTCACTTTAAGTGAGCAAACAGGAAAAAAGTTGCAAAAAGGACTTCCTCCTAGGATTTCTACAGCAGCTCAGTAAAAACCAGTGAAGCAACAGTTCAGTGTTACTCATACAGATCAAGTCTTTCTCACTGGATAGCAACATGGCCACAAAACTACCATCTCAAGAGGAATTTGAGAACTGGACAGCTTTTCAAGTTGCAGATCTTCTAAGACAGGTACTGAATGTATATGTAACACTTTAGAAAGTCCAGTCTATATTCAGCTAGCAGAAACTCTTACTGGATTTATCTTTGAAAAACAGATATCTTATCCTAAATGTAGCACAGGTATTTAAAAGTACTGAAAATAGATGAGTTGGCAATTGTCACCCCCAAGAACTTATTAATATTATGTGAGTTTCTTGGTGCTCTCCTGTTTTTTATAGAAGTCAAATTCATGGTAGAAGCTGATAGCTAAGGTCTCCTACATGGCAAATCATAGAAAAATGTTTGCTCACAGGGATATTTCTTATAATAGAAAAGGTATTTCATGCCCCAATTTATTTCCTGCTGGGAAGAAATAACCATTTCACTGAAAGTGGGTCTAGATTTTATATTTGAATATTGCTTTAAAATTTACAGATTGTCAGTAAGAATCTACTGTTCATCTTTTCTCCTCAATGCATATATAACCACAGTAGTTGCTAGATGTTGCTTAAGTTTAAGATACTTGAGCTTCTTTTTTAATCATTCTTTTGTCTGCTTGTACCTTTCCTAGTTCTGCGATGTCCCTTCTAGTGTATGTAAAATAACCTGAATTGCACAAAATATTCCAAGCTTGTCTTCAGTCATCCTTTCATTACTTGAATAATCTCCTCCAAGATATATAAAATATATCCTCCATGATATATCCTTTTTTTGATATCAGATTTTTCTTTGTAAGTTACTGAATACTATGACTCGGGTTTTAGACTTCTACCTGTAACTTACTTACACAATAATGTCCATTCACTGCATTTTGATATATAGTGTCATTTTACATTCCTTTTGGTTTTTTTAATGTACGTTTCTCTATATAATTTTATATATAGGATTTTTCTGTCTCGTGTTTGTCCTACTTCTAACTGTAGAAGCACCAATCTTTTCCAGTACCCGCTTTACACCAACAGTGAGAATTTATTGTCATTAAGGTTTCTCATCCTTTTCAATTGAAGGAGCATACAACCTTTCTCAAGGAAAATAATACAGTGTTTTGAAGTGTTGCTACATGTGTTCCATTTGTAGCCACATAAGAATTAGGCCAAAGTTTAAAATGTTCATTTTTTATTATTATTTTTCCATTTTGCCTTGTGCATAAATACATATGCTCATGCATGTACAATTTAAAAAAAAAAAAAACACAACGCTTTTGCAATGCAGATGTCTCACAGATGGACCATTGTCCCCATGTTGAGAAAGCTAACCTGGTCCATGGAATCAATGCATACCATAACGGTAATGTATCAGCTAAACTGCAAACATTACTGTGAACAGCTACTCAGAGGATTAATTAGCTCAATGCCTTCCAGCTTAAAGGAAATCAGACTAATTAATAGAAGATATAATGATTTTAAAGTACCCTGTAATTCTACAGCAGAATAGAAGACAGAAAATTAATAGCAATTGTTCAACAACTCAGAGGCTTCCAGGGAAATTTCAGCAGGCATGCTGTAACTACTGGCTTCATACTTGTTAAGAGAGACTCTTCCAACCTTATAAAAAGCTGTTAATAACCATGCTTACACTCACATCACTGATTAAAGCAGCTAAGTGATCTAATTACTACAGTATAACCAGCATTAAGTGCTTGGCCATTCTGCGTATCAAAGACTAGCACCGGGGAGTAGCAGCCATTTGCCTGCGGCCACCGTGTACAGACCTGTTCAGCTCCTGCTACCAGAGCCTGAGCACCAGGTACTGCCCACAGTCAGCCAACGCACCGGGGTGCTGTGCTGGATCTCCCCCCCTGCGACTGGGCATACATGTACGTGAACCCTAAAATAATGCTGTTAAGGTTGCAGAAACAAGCACTCAATGTTAAAAGTGCCAGAAGTGGGATTACCTCTATAACCTGAATTTGCCCCCTTTTACATACACGTTATGATAGTCTGTAATTGCTTCTTTGTGTGCTACCTTTTCCATTCACAAAAAACTGCCTCTTTCAATGCAGAGAAACCTGTATGTTTTGTGCACTAATCTGGGCCGTTACAGAAATTGTAAGGTACACAAGGCCAGGGCTTGCTGAAAGAGACAGAATTAATTCATGCTAATGTCGATTCAATTCTGCCTTGAAATACCAGATTCTGTCACTGCCCCAGCTCAGCATTTTTACCTGAAGCCATGCAAGTCACCCAGAAAACACATGACATTTCCTGAGTGCTTGACTTGAAATTCCAGGCTCTGATTTGCAGAAGTGGTGAGAGGTGAGAGTTGTACCCACAGTGGCAGCTCTGCTCAGAAGGTAAAAATGCCGAAATATTGAATATGCAAATATACACGTATATCTCACAGATCCTAAATAGCTCTAGTTAGGCATCCAAAACCACTGGATACTGTATGAGTTTTATTTCCCATGCACCTCAACTCCCCTTACTAATAGAGTTTTCATCTCAGGGTGGTCTTAGAAAATGCAGTTAATCAAATGTTTTTGAAACACTCAGACAGTAAAAAAAAATTACTATTTAGTTTCTGTCATAAAGAGATACCACTTCTGGACATTCCTGTTTCATTTTAATTTATAATCAGCACGAACTTTCTTAAAAAACACCACCACCACAACCTCGTTACAGAAAAGAAATCCTGTTTCTGAACCTAAATTCTTTCCAGCAATGCCCATCTACCATGGGAACTGCAAGACACACTTAGCCCAATCATCTGGTGCTGAAGCCAAGCAGCAGCCAGTGCGTACAGAGGATGGTAAACAGGCATGTAACAGAGCTTTCTGTTATATAGCCTTCATTTTCCAGCAGTTGGTGATATAACCATTTCCTGAGGGGATGGCACGGCTGCTGATGGTAGCTTGTGACATAAGCCCTTTTAACCTGTTTCTAATGCTGGCCTCCTATCCCATAGCAATTAAAGTTCCACAGTTTATTTCTGTCGGGCTCCTTGTTCTATTTATGTTACATTTCATGCTTCATAATTTCATCTTGTCTACTCCATTCACGATTTTATCAGCCCTTATCCCCTGTAACCTTTCTTCCTAAGAAAGAGGTAACACTGTCTTCTCTCTTACGTGGAAGTCACTACCTATTTGTAAGAATTACTGTTATTCTGTCCAATATTCTTTTTCTAATTAACCATGTCAAATAGTATAAAGATTTCCACAACCCCAAGTATTTGAGCATAGAAATATCAATTAGTTGGCTTACAAATGTCAAGTTTCATACTATTGTAATAATTCTATTTTTTCTCACCTCAGTCTGGAATGCCTGAATCTGCTGTGGTTGTAGAAAAACTGGGCATGAATGGATCTCATTTCTTGGTAAGCAAATGTTTCGTAAGAGGTATCATTCAAGCATATTTCAGCATAAGGCTTGTATTCCTTACAGTGCCAGGAAATAATCTGACATTTTCCTTCTTTGTACACACTTCATCAGTTGCTCTGATTTCCCATTTTAGTGGATTGACTTACATCTCTGACTCGAGGAACCCCCCTACACAACATAAATCCCAGCCAGCCCTTCTCCCCCTCCAGAGAAAGTGCAGATATGTAGAATCAGCCATTAGCACACAACGGTGGCAGGGAAAGTCCCGTGAAATATCGCTTAGAGGGGGTTGGGGTTTTTTTAAGAAAAAACATGTATTTTAAAGCCATTGTTTATGTAAAAGCTTTTTCATAAAACTTGCACGATTAAGAACATTTACTAGTACAGAATTCTAAATGAATTTTACAGTAAAAGTTTACAGATTCCAGGAAAAATGTCTGAAAAATTCTGATAACTTCCTTTGTTGACGCCTGTAGATTTTTTTGCATAAGAGCGTGTTTAATTAATTGCAACTAATTAGAAGAGAGGAATAGAATAACTCCTTGAACTGGGGTGATTCCTCTGCCACTAATTCCATTTGTGTAGCTATTGAAGTAAAAGACCTTTAAGATCTATTTTAAAGGTAAAATAATTGTTATCATGTATTTATGCACTGCAGACAAATTATGTTTGCTTGGCACTTCATTGCTCAACAAAGCTGTTTCCTGGATGCATCAGGAGTTGTATCTGCTGTTTATGTTAACAAGGGCTCCAATCCTGCAAAGTGATTCATTACACCACGGCTACTCAGGTGCACGCAGGTTCACTTTGTTTAAGACTACATGGCCACAGAGTAAAATTGGGTTTTACTAACAATTCATGCTAGCATAGTAGGGCTAACAAAGCTGTCAAATACAGACTGATTCCTGTCCCATTCACACATTATAAATCGAATCGCTAAAGTTGCTGTTTTCTCCATTGCTGGATGAGAGGGAGTGAAGTTAAAGCTAAGGGTGAGTGCGTTGGCTTCTTGTGCCTGCTGCAAGTAAAGCTGTACAGCAGCAGTGGAAAGTGATATGAGAAATATGTTCAGACATTAGTGGTAACCTAATCAAAACACAAGTGAAAAAAGCAAGGGGAACAATGGATGATCTTTGGTGATGGTCTGCGATATGAAATTTTAAAGAAGCAGTATGATTAAAAATGAAAGCATTTACTAGTATGTTCTCCAAACTATGTATTCTCTTTAACACATCTTTAAAGATTATTTTGCACTGCAGAAAACATGGCAGTATATGTGTGATATGATGAGCAACATCCATTTTTGATAGCATTGTAGAGAAAATGAGACCGGTCTTGCACACCAGTAGTAACCTTCTTACAGCTTTCACGTGTACTTTAATTGAATTGTTCGGTAGCATTGTCAACATGATAAATCTGTAATAAGGTATGCTTGAAACAGAATTAATTATGACAATACTAAAAAAATAATGATTCAAGAACCTATATTTTGCTATCATTAATAGCAATATTTGAGTAACTGCAAGCTTCTGTTCTCCTATGTACAAACTAATATGTATATTAACTTGTAAGTAATTAAATCAATAGCCCACTTTTTTTATTCCAAGGTCCTAGCCTAGTATACAAGAAATCTATACTAGTCCAGGAATGAAAAGTCCCTTCTCTGTTACAAAGTGTCTGATTTAGAAAGCACACCCTTAGTAGATCTACCTTAACAATATATGGCAGAGTAACCAGATGGCTAAGGTACACACTTCCACTCAGAAAATCTGAGTTTCTGTCTACACTACTTAAAGCATGATTTCCTAACTGGATCTACTGGTTTGTGTGGAGGTGTCTGGAAATCCAGAATTCCAAAATCCTGATTCTCTTAGTGTGTCTGTTTATTAGCTTTGGCAAGAACCTTAGGTTTTGCAACTCACTTTATCATTCAGTTATTAGGGGCATACGATTTACTTCACTACGCTCTGCAAAGTCTTAACAGAAGTTCAATATCACCTTTGGACATTGATCTAAAAGTCACTAGAGAAAAGCTGGCCATCTATCACTAGACAGCAATGAACAAAAAAACCACACCACCATGAAAGAGAAAACACTTGAGCAAGTCTGATGCCATCTACTAGATAGGAGTGGCAGCGTTTCCTTCTCATATTAATAATTTAAAAAAAAACACTTGAGCAAGTCTGATGCCATCTACTAGATAGGAGTGGCAGCTTTACCTTCACATATTAATAATTTCTAAAAAGAAAATACAAGTTTACCACTAATACGTGTGTGCATAGAGACACTATGCACATGTGTAGATCTCTTGTGACACATGTGCAGCTTTTCTATGTGTCTACCCGATGTTAGAGGCATATTTAGATACAGATCTGTTTTTGCTATGAGATCTGTTAGGTATCACTGGACAGAAAATTCCTTCTAGTCTGGCAGATAAAGAAGCAAGCAACTCTCTGTAGTGACTTCCATGTGAATTTAGTGAACTTTCCCCCACCACACATTCACACAATTTTCTGTTTTACTTTGCATGGTCTGAAAAAACCGCCCTCTGTCCTTAGGCGTTGCTGCAGAAAGCACGTAAGAGTGCCTGTGAAGGCTGAGAGCACAGCCTGAGCAGAGCCAACTCGATGCCTACCAGCCCTTCACATTTCTCAGACAAGCGCTGCTTTTCACTGTAAAACTCCTCCAGCCTGCCCCAAACCTCTGCTTCCCTGCCACGGCACTGACACCTTAAGCATATGCAGCACAGGCTTTTTGCATTAGTGAGATATGCCAAAATTTGGAGATGAAACGCCCCTCTGGGGCGGGCAGCATGCTGGTCCACTGGTGGGCCTCGCTGGAAGGTACGTTTCCTGGAAAGCAACACGCGCAGCCAGTGTGCTGCACGTTTATCAGAGGATATAACCACCAACACACCAGATGTGCCTCTGTTTCCTGTGTGGTTTCAGCGAGGATGCTCATCTTTTTAATTTTTCCAAAGAAAGAATGTTGTCAAAAGTTGGGGAAAATAATTATCCTGCAGAAATCAATTATCCTAAAGCTCACCACTTCACTAACACAAAACTTCTTAGGGGGGCTTCCCGCACAATGTGTCCTTCATGTCAAATGCAAATTACATGTTAATTGAAAGTGAATCAGATGGATTTATCAATACTAAGGTCTTTCTGAAGTTTAAAATGTTCGAAGTCTAGTCATGCAGGCACTGTAGCCACATAATATGTGATAAGTTGGCCACAACACCTTAAATCAATTTTGACTGGTTTCAGAGTAGAAATAGCGTAATCAACGTTTATATGGTCATTTCTTTGAATATTTCTTGTCTTTGAGTGGCTCAAAGACAACCACTTTTATAGAATATTATATTCTGGTTTATAAACATACTGAGTATCACACTGATCTTTTACAGGAAACAGAATTACACGCATTTTATACAAATTTAGAAGTAAAAGCTCCTCCTTTACACTTCTGTGGAATCTAAGAACGCAAAAGGGTGCTATATTAGATCTGAAGTGTACTGTGCAGTTTCATTTTGTATCAACAGTACTATACTTGTGATAGTTATTCAATATGCAGGTCACATCTGAATGATGCTAATCTAGTCCTAATGTGCAAATCAGCATTTAGCCACAGCTGCTTTGCACAGAGCATATTATATTCTCTCTTGCTTTTTAATGTCTGAACTTATCATAGAATCATACAACAGTTTGGGTTGGAAGGGACCTCTAAAGGTCATCTAGCCCACCCCCCCCTGCAATAAGCAGGGGCATCTTCAACTAGATCAGGTTGCTCAGAGCCCCGTCCAGCCTGACCTTGAACGTTTCCAGGGATGGGGCATCCACCACCTCTCTGGGCAACCTGTGCCAGTGCTTCACCACTCTCATTATAAATAATTTCTTCCTTAAACTTGCTACACTGTACTCTGCTTTTCAGTTCCCTCTAAGAGCAGGTTGCTTCTTTGACGTTGTTTTTAAAATTCTGTTTTGAATTCCCAGTGAGAGATTGAAAAAAGATATAAAAAACAGTGAATTTTGACTTGAACTTCAGAACTGAAAAAAGGTAGACTTTCTTACTGGATTTGTATATAGAAATTTACTAAAAGAAATCTCGAACATAGCAAAATGGTCAGACATTGATTCTAAACAACTTCTGTGTGTTTCTCCTCTTTCTTGCTATTTCAAAATGTGTTTTGAATTGCATGGCTGGAATATGAGTGCCTTGGAGAAAACCAGTCCCATTTTCTTCACCAATACACTAGTGGGGGTTTTTTGAGTAGTATTTAGAGAATGGAACCTGTGTCTTCCTGTGGGAGATTTGTGCCTCCCTGCCAGTGCAAAACACCGCCAGAGCTTGCCAGGTTCAACTCACTAAGGCTGTACTTTTGACATCCATTTATGTGAGCACTGCTACTGAGAAAAAGCAGCTATCGTCCCACTTGGATGCTCCTTCCCATCCCTGCAATGCAGAAGCAGCAGACGGGAAAGGACAGGAACCACATCTGCTTTCTCTAGTGACCACAACAACTGAACACACCACACCTAGAGCTCCCCTGTTGCTATGTGAATGCTGCCGAGTCCCACAAGACCTAAATCATTTCCCCAGTTTCAGCTAAGAGAGTGTTTCCCAATACTGCGAGTGGTATTTTAGCAGCATGGGGTAGGGGAATAGGTGGAAGGACAGATTAAAATTCGTTTTGGCTGCTTGGGTATCTGTTAGGAAAGAGCTAACCAGCATCAGGTTCTGTTCAATTGGATCTGACATCCATCCCTGTATACTTAGTTTTACAAATAAAATTTGGACCATGAATGCCTTGAGTTTCCAGAGGGAAAAAAAAAAAAATGTTTTCTAGGTCCTGCATAAACAACAGAAATAAGAAAATTAAACAACAGAAATTAGAAACTTCACAGAAATAAGAAGCTTGCTAAGTCCTTCTTTATATCTAATTCCTCTGGGAAAGGGCCAAAATACTCTTGCAGTGTTTTCCCCAGGTATCAAGCAA